AAGGAGCGTACGTCTTTTAGCTGCAACTTTTTAATTAATCGAATCAAATTTTAATTTGATTTTATTTCAACGTGCCATTTAATTTTGATTTGTGATTCCATCTAATCTTAATATTCTAAGATGTATTATTCTTCTTGTCTACATTTTATTAAATATCTAATAAAAGTTCAACGTATCAGTATACTGGATTTTATTTTTATTATATATTATATATTTTTATTATATTTGTTCTTTTTCAAGATGCATCTCTTTGAAGTGCCATCATAGGAATTTTTAAACTTCGTTATAAAAAAAAATTGATATTTCTTGAAACTTAGATAGCTTCAAGAAACTGCATCCTTTGAAAAAATATCACAATTTAGGTCAATTCTGATTGAAATAAAGACGTTATTATGAATTCTTGTGTAATCGAGATATAAGAAACTTTTTTTAAGTTTCTTTGGAAAAAAATCAGGCGCTTCATTAATTACATAAAAATAATGAAAATGAGAGACCACAGTTTGCAACTGGGAAACACGAGTGGTGTAATATAGTTAGTTTCCATTAGCGAAATATCCAATTTATTACGGGAGCAAAGGCGGCCAATTGGTGATCGCGATCGTAATATTATTATACGTAATTATATTTAACGTGGCGCATAAAGGCGTCGATAGATTAGAGGCCTTTCCTTTTCTGTGCTCCCTTCTCCTCTCCCAGCACGTTTCCAGCCACGATCTGTCCTACTCGCGCGTTCCGTAACATGTAATGATCCGTCCCGTTCGCCGGATGGCGCGGCTTGGCTCGCGTAATTAGAATATCAATTAATAATCGGGATTAATTAAATCCGCGATTATCGATGCACGTCGTGACGCGACGTGAGCTTTCGTCGTTCGCTCATCTGTGTGCGCGCATATATATGTCGCACACGGCTATATATGTCGAAGATGGAGACGAGTAGATTAGCTCGCGCGAATGGTCTATACGGCTCATGTCACTTTTTGTCCTTGATGAGTCCAATGACATTTGTCACGCGCATTTATTACACCGTTGTCGTTACATTAATTATCTCGCTCCTAACTCTGTGTGTAACCGGTTCGCAATTGATACCAAAGTTAATTTCTTTTTGAGACAGACGTCTCGGGTTTATCGCGAATATCGCGGGACGTAATTTATGTAGATAGACAACTATTTGTAACAATTTCTCTCTCTCTCTCTCTCTCTACATATATATATA